CAGAACTGAGATAGTAAATTAAGTCATGCACAGAAAAAAAACTGTTAGCAATACGGTTAAGAGAACTTAATTATCATTCAACTGAATATGTTGACAGAGACAAATGTAAGAAGAGAGAAAAAAGTTACCAAAAATAAATAGCTGGAGATTTCTTATGTGACTGAAGAAAAACATAAAAAAAAACTTTTTTCGCTTCTATTTCACATGAAGAAATGGAGAGTGAAACAAGCAAACAACTTATTTTAGGCCTAGACTTTTTTTGAAATTTTTTTTTTGATGGGCAAAATTGATAGGCATAAAAAATTGATAGGCATAATTCTTACCGTGCTTTCATACTGCACTAAGTGTTCAACTTAATTATTAGCAGTATTTGTTCAAACCTGAAACTTTGGTTGTTATAACTATTATAGTTGTTTCTGTCGCCGTTACAGCTAGAAATTTTTTTCTAGAATTCATTTGCAGAAGTTTTATTTTTATAAACTTCTTAAAAATCTTAAACAGAGAGAAAAAAAAGAACTGATTAACCAGTTATAAGGATAATATACCAAAAAACTGTTGTTCGTTAAGACCTCTATCAATGAAGGATTTTGGACATCAGGAATACAAAAATTGTCTATCAGACAACTTAAACTGAATATTATCCGCGTTTTTCCTGCTAAAACAGCCAATAAACAATGATTCTTTGAGTACAATCTTCAGATACCCACTAATACGAAGTAAACATAGAGAAATGCAGCTCCGCTTTGTCCAGGTTGTGATGACTGCCAAAAATTCGTTGGTCTTGCTACCGAACCATATTATAATTGTGGTTGGGACTAAGAATCTCCAAATAGCGTATTTAACTATTTTTTTTTCTTCCTATTGCAGTAACAAATGTTAGTTTTGCAAACGTTATTCCATACAATGACTACCACTACTTCCTGTCAGAAAAATTTTCAATGAAACAGAGCGAAAACGATGAAGTACCGTCACTGAATACAAACAGTGATACTGTTTAACCAATTTCATTCAAATGCACGTGACTTTTATCCGTCAACTCTATGACTTCCCTGTACTTTACAAACGCATTATTAAAAACCAGTGCTTGCAAAGAATGATTTGGTCTTTATTACTCATAATACAACTACTGCTTTTCCCACTCTATATAAGTTGATTTCTGTGGTCTACAGCAGACGTCTGCATTCTTGATAGCGACGATAGATACACATTGTTTTCGTTTAACAAGCTGATCAAACTTAATTCCGTTTTCAGTGACTGAAAAATAAGTATTCCCCAAACAAATTTTGTTGAACTTCGATTCATTTGGTTGGTAAAGAGCCTACTGAAAATCCTCATATTACTCCATATTTCTTACAAATTTTGTACTTGAAAGCCGGAACCGTTTGGTGAGCCAAAATTTTAAATAAATCTTGTAAGATGAAAAAGTTTTACCATCAGTTTTACAATGCATCAGAGTAGCCATTCTGATTAAACTTCAAAAACTATTATAATCAAGGAAAATTGATCATCGTCGTGATTTGCAATCAATAGCATCTTGTACCACTCAGCAACACCAGCCAGTCAA